AATAATGGACCGATTATTTAAAGTAATTGTTCAATATGTCAAAAAAATAAATATCGAAAGTACTGTTGTAATTAGAGTAAAATTTGTGAAAACTGTGCATTTGAAAATTACGATATTTTTCATCAAAAAGTTTATAAGACGTAGTTTAGTAAAAATCATTTCAAATTGATTACGATTTCATTTGTAAATAATAGGTCCAAAGTTATATAGACAGAACTTTCCTCGCTCCTTGAATCCAATCGAAGAAAACCATTTTTTTTTTTGAAAAATTATAAAATATAAATTTGAAAAATTTTGTTCATATTATGATAGCCCTTATAAATAATAAAAAGTGGAAATAATACCAGTTACAATGTAAAAAAAAGTTCGGTAACAACAGGATCAGAACTCACACAGGGGACAGAGCACAAGTCCGATAAACCTGTATTTTACCAACCATTGAAATGCCACGAGGTATAAGGCTACATGGAAAATATTCCACGAAAAAATTTTTGTGAAGTATGTTATTGAAAAATACAAGGCGGATTCATAAACCACATCTATAAGAGTATCTTTTATGACGCAAAATGATGTGCGTCATCAGTACAATATTCTTAAACCATTGTAAAATTTTGAAGATTATCTAATCTCAATTTTTCAACAAAAGGAACAAAATTTCCAAACTGAAATTTTGATTTATTTTCTCTTATTAAATCGACAAATTCAAAATTCAAAAATTAAGAAATTAAAAACTCGACAAACTGAAAATTCAGATGTGGAAATTCAAAAATCGACGAACTGAAAATTCGGAAGTTGAAAATCGAAAAATTGTAAAATGGAAAAAAACTGAGAAAGTCGAAAAATTGACGAAATAAAAATTTGTAAAAACGAAAATTTAATACAGATTTTTAGTTTTTCATTTTCTCAATGTTTAATTTCTCTCAATTTTTAGCAAAATAAACAAAATTAGGTTAAGAAATCGACAAATTGAAAATTCAGAAGTTGAAAAATAGAAAAATAGTAAAATTTTAAAAACTGCAAGTCAAAAAATTGAAAGTTGAAAAATTCAAAAATTGAAAAATGGACAAATTGAAAATTCAAAAAGTTGAAAAATCGAAAAATTGAGTAAATAAAAAACAGAAAATCAAAAATCGCGAAACCGAAAAATCCAAAAATGGTAAAAACGAGAAATTAATACAAATTTTTAGTTTTTCATTTTCTCAATATATAGTTTCTCAATTTTTAACAAAAAGAACAAAATTTTCAAACTAAAATTTTGGATTATATTCCCTCGTGAAATCGACAAATTGAAAAGTTAAAAATTCAAAATTTGAAAAATTAAAAAATCGACAAACTGAAAATTCAGGAGTTCAAAAATCGAAAAATGGTAAAATGGAAAAAACTACAAGTTGAAAAATTGAGGAAATAAAAAACTAAAAATTAAAAGTTGCGAAATCGAAAAATCAAAAAATGGTAAAAACGAAAAATTAATGCAAATTTTTAGTTTTTCATTTTCTCAATGTTTAATTTTTCAATTTTTAGTTTCTCAATTTTTAACAAAAAGAACAAAATTTTCAAACTGAAATTTTGGATTATTTTCCCTCGTAAAATTGATAAATAGAAAAGTAAAAAATTCAAAATTTGAAAAATCAAAAAAATTGACAAATTGAAAATTCAGGAGTTGAAAAATCGAAAAATCGTAAAATCGAAAAACTGCAAGTCGAAAAATTGACGAAATAAAAAACTAAAAATTAAAAGTTGCGAAACCGAAAAATCAAAAAATGGTAAAAACGAAAAATTAATGCAGATTTTTAGTTTTTCATTTTCTCAATGTTTAAGTTCTCAAAAAAAGAACGAAATTTTCAAACTGAAATTTTGGATTATTTTCCCTCGTAAAAATGATAAATAGAAAAGTTAAAAATTTAAAATTTGAAAAATCAAAAAAAATTGACAAATTGAAAATTCAGGTGTTGAAAAATCGAAAAATCGTAAAATCGAAAAACTGCAAGTCGAAAAATTGACGAAATAAAAAACTAAAAATTGAAAGTTGCGAAACCGAAAAATCAAAAAATGGTAAAAAGGAAAAATGAATACAGATTTTTAGTTTTTCATTTTCTCAATGTTTAAGTTCTCAAAAAAAGAACGAAATTTTCAAACTGAAATTTTGGATTATTTTCTCTCGTAAAATCAACAAATTGAAAAGCTAAAAATTCAAAAGTTGAAAAATTAAAAAATCGACAAATGAAAAATTCGAAAGTTGAAAACTCCAAAAAAACTGTAAATCGAAAAATTGACGAAATAATAAACTGAAAATTAAAAACGAAAAATTAATACAGATTTTTGGTTTTTCGTTTTCTCAATGTTTAATTTCTCAATTTTTAACAAAAAAAACAAAATTTTCAAACTTAAATTTTGGATTATTTTCCCTTGTAAAATCGACAAATTGAAAAAATATATAGAAAAATTGTAAAAACGAAAAATTTACAAGTCGAAAAATTGAAGAAATAAAAAACTGAAAAATTTCAAAATCAAAAACCGCGAAACCGAAAAATCTAAAAACTGAAAAAGATTGGATTATGTAATTTAATAAAAACGACAAAGGCAGACGAGGGACAGATGGAAACGGGAGACCTACTTTTCCGTAGTTTAGGGGTCATGAAGCGTCGACAGATACGAAAGTAGCAATTCGCCAGATTGACTTTCATACAAACTTCCTTATATATACCTACTTCGTTGGGAAGTAACATAAATAATCACATTTATAACGAAAAATATAAAAAAATATACTGAATGAAAGCAAGCCATTCAGTATGGCTGAAATTTCAGGAACACAATATAATTTGTCTAAATATATTTTTTATTCACTTCTTCCTCCAAAAATTGACAATTCAATTTATTTAAAAAAAAATACAAATATGTAAATTAAAGGATGTATTGTAGAGCTAAAATTCTTTGAGAAGCACCTGACATCTGACATCATTCCTGTTGTTCTATTGTAATCTCCAACAAATGTAAGTATGACTTCAAGATTTTCTTGTGGATTTGAATTTCTACCAAGTTAAAGGAAATTTAATTTGTTAGCTATGTAAACTAATCCTAAATTCCTAACTGTCAAGAATATAACACAGAAATTGCCCACAACTGAAAAATCAGTACACAAAATCGATCGTGGTAAAAATAAAAGTAGAATTAAATAAAATATTACTGTATTCCTGCAAAAAATGTTTTGTTAAAAAAATCCACACTAAAAATAAACCACATGAATTTTTTTCCCACATTGAAAATTTTTGAAACCACCGAATTCTTACCAATTAATTGATCAAAAAACCAAATATTAGATTTTGTTCAAAATTTTTTACTTTTTCTACTTATTTTATAAAAAAAATAGTGTATCAGGTACAAGTTATTCAGTGAAATGAACAACATATTTTTTTCAAATTCATTTTGTGTTTCAGTTTCTCGACCAAGAAACTGCAAATTTTCTATTGTTCTGTGTTATATGTAGTATCTGACACTGAAATCTCTGTTTATTGTAAATATTTTGAAAGAGTAATCTCCAAAATCTGGTCATGGTAAATAAGTTATTTTTATGGTACATATTTCATAGTTTTCATAATAATTTTCAAGGAAACGTGAAATTCTTCAGATTGTTGGGCATGTTAAACATGTAGATTTAACTAATATCGTTTTTTACACTCTTAACCAAATTATTTGTCTCTAGGCAAAGTTAAAACAATTTAATTAAAGAACGTATAACGATTTTAACATTACATCACATTTTGTTGTATACATGTATAAAAATTTGTATAATTAATTTATAGGCAGTTGAGGAAAAAAAACATTTTGTAATTATAATCAGAAATTTTAAAAAGATATTTAAGAGTAATTTAAAATGTTTAAAATTTGCCGGTCATATGTCATTTTTGCAATAACGAAGTGTTACACAAGAATTTTTTTTAATTAATTTGATTACCATCATTTTGTACATACTTGACCACTTAGGTCTAAAACAAACACAAATCTTTAACACTTCATTGTTTTCAAATTTAATATTTTATACCTCGCAATGATAATTTTGAAAATTTATATATAACATAAAATTTATAACAAAAGTAATCGACTTTATTAAAGAAAAGAAGTGGCTTGAATGTGACCCGAAAAATAAATTTTAGACCAAAAATACTTTCGATGTGTCTAAAAAATTATATTTAACATAAAAAAGTGGAGTCTATATAAATGTGCAATAAATCTTTGTAAAACAAAATTTGAAACACTCATTATAGACACTATGAATATCCATTTTGTGACTTAATCCATCATTACATGATTCGAAATAATTTACATACATTCAGAGAATTTGGAGTTAATTATGCGACATTGCTACTTAAACACTAATAATAGTACATTTCTGAAATAACTTTAATCTACGTCAGATTGTGTAGACGATGAACATTAAAGGTTAGTTTAGAATTCTGAGCACACACGTTTAACGTGTTTACGGCACATTACTGTTTCTGGCACACAGCATAATACAAATATTGTCAAAAATCACTTACCTGATATGTGTAGACGTAGCTTTTAACGGTTCGTTACATAATTCCTACCTTTATAAAAACAAAAAATAAAAGACAGACGTCTCTCGGACTGGCGGTGACTTTGTAACGTGATGGAAATTTCTGAATATTCATTTCTTTTTTTTATAGTGATCTCAACTTTAATCCAAAGTTTCATTGAGGTGATTAAAAAACTGGAATAAAAGACGTAAACAACAAGCACAAGCTACACATTTAGGCCTCCCGTATGTAACGAACAAGGTCAGTTGTCTCACTTGACTTTCTATCAATCCATCATTCAGTCACAGAGCTGATGAAAAATGATTGAAATATTAATTTTTGCGTCGTAAATAACGTTTTTTGTGAGCATCCAGTGTACCGTTGTCCACTTCCGGATTCGTTAGGCATGTAGGTTAGAACAGAAAGAACGCTTAAAAGTTCGTTATTTATATATATTTTACACATTTAGAAATATTTTTTCATTTAATAATTATAATAATTTCGTCCTAAAATTATAGACAGTTTTCAATAAACACTACTTTACATAATAAGGTACATCTTCTGTCTCACACTCACCACAATCATCAACAACTAATATAGTTTACAATATACTATACAAGGAATCACTAAAACTTTTATAGACCGACAGTGACAAGTCGCGCAATTAGTAAGTTGTCAAGTTCTTGCGAGTTCCTCCCACAATCGCTCGCCCACGTTTCCCTCATTTTACTTACATATTCAACAAAACGCACCAACAATCAAACAAAAACGCATGGTATAAAAACGAGCGTTTCTCAAGTCGTGAAAGGTTTGAAACAATATTGTAAAATTATAAGAAGGAAACCTCAAAATGCCAATCACTTTTATACCATGGATAACCTAGTCAACACTTTCTGTTAGTACGTATCACTATTTTACAGTTTTCCGCTCGAAATGAAAACGCCAAACGACTAAACCAACAAACGCCATCGATAGGAAAATAAATTAATACAACTGAGGACGAATTGTTGATCGAATCGCCTTGCCCTGTCATCGACGATATTGCACCGAACTCATTTTTTATTAACAGGATGGAATATTCTTTAGCTGAGATCGTAACTAGACACAATCCAAACATAACTCAACAACGATTTTCCGAACGTTCGCACTCACTGGTCGCAGTTTGTCCTTTGTTATTAAAATTTCATAGACCTAATTAGTAACTAATCACTTTCTTCATTATTAAACAGCTGGCCACACCCTGAAACAAAGAGAAAAGTGTTAAAAATCACACGGTATACTATGTACGAGGTTGTAGTGTTTTTGAGTGCAGACATCTCAGTTTTTGAAAATTTTGAGTTTGGTGCGCGTGGTAATGGACTGGGCTGTGTATGGGTCAATATCTTTTTTGGAAATTAGGTTGTTTCGACATTAATTTCAAGGTCGTTGTTAATTATAGAGTGAAATTAACAAAAGCAATTGTTTACAAAATGGTTATTAAAATGGTCTATTGTTTCGGACTATTATTTTTATTCGATAAGACATTAGGTAATTACTCACTCTTCTAATTTTATGGTTTTTCCAGACAAGAATACGAATGGGTGGTCTGAATTATTTTTAATAATAAGTTTTTCACTTAAGTAGTACTTTTGCCATTTGAAATCAGGCTTCCAAAGTCTTATTTATCTTCCCATTGTTAAGAATTTTGTTGCATTAATATAATACAAAGAATGTTTTTCCTTTAATTAATATGTAAATATAGTTTAAATTAATTAAGGTAATTAGGTTTTTTTAAACGTTAACTGATGAATAACTTTTCATATCTATTTTAGATCGCTAATAAAAAAAATAGATTCAGAAAAATATTATTTTGTCAAAAATCGAGAAGTTTTGATTCGAAATAAAGGTAATTTGATTAACAACGTGCCAAAATACGTTTAACAGTTCTTGCAAAAAGCTTTTCGATTAATTCCATGCTTTTTAGGTGCCCTGTACACAGAAACAAAAAATATCCAAAATAAATTCTAAGGATGATCAAAATTATAAAATTTTGTATACAAATTGTTAGTTTATAGTAATAGTTTGCTTGGCTTTGTAACTTCTCTGATGTCTAGAATATGAAATGGTCTTTTTTTGCTCATCCGTACATTTTTTAGTCTAAATTCCAGAAAATCGGATAAGCGACATATAAAAACTCAGATTTATAGCATTAAAATGCAATAATTGCGAAACAAACTTAATAATAAAAACAAGATACAACACTACATCCTTTGCCCGGAATTAAAAAAGTCGTTTCCTGTGCCTTTCTAAATCTCCAGTCGGACTTAAATCATAATTTACGTAAGTATGTCTCAGTATGTGGCAAATTTTACCATTGAATACGTTAAAAAGTGGAATAATAAAATTAATACACACAAAAAATAAGTTTTTAATTAATAATTACGTAATTAATTACAAAGTGAACACACCATGTATTTTGGAATATTATAACGATTTAAATAATAAAATTGCAACGAAAGAATAATAAACACACATCATTAGATCAAGAAAACTAGAAACTAAATATAGAAGAAGTTGACAATTCGACTGAATCTATAATTCTAGCTAGAAGCAGACAGTGAAAATGTATTTTCTATAAAAGTGAATATGAAAATAAAACCATCAGACATAAAATTTGAGAAAAACAAAAAATATATTTTGTTTCAATAATTTTTTTGTTTCTATTTTAAATGACGTTGCCAGCTGAAATATCTTTTTTTAAATATATACTGGACCAAAAAAAAATATATATATAGGGTGAGTTATTAAACACACGTTCCTCGATCTCATTAATTATTTAAAATATAAAAAAAGGCGCAACAGAACTTAGTTCTTTTTAAACACCCTATATAATGGAAGGGTTGAATTTTTCATGGATATTATCGATAAAGTCCAATCTTCATATACAGAGTGTTTATAAAAAAAAATAATTATTGCAATTTTCAGATAGCGATTTTTCAGTTTTTTCAGATAAAATACGTGTATGTTATTAGTGTATCTTACACAAATAGAGTAATATATAATTATAAAATACAGGGTGTTCGGTTTGAAAAAATTGATACATATATATCGATATCTTAAAACTGAATAGTAAAAATTTCGATTTTTTTATAAACACTCTGTATATTAAAATTTGATTTAATTTGTACCACAACAAAGCACGTACCTTTATTTATCCCTCCACAAAATATTGTAATACAGATTTTAAAAACCACTCTTTAGCGAATTTTTGTGAATGCTTCTATTGCCAACAAATTTCAAAAAAATTGGATTAATATGGAAACATCGCTTCGGATTTAAAAAAAAACTGTGATTTTAGTATCTAGAAAAACGCTACTCAGAATATGTAGAAGTATGTAGGGTGTTTCGTTTAAGAAAAACTAACTTGTATCTTACGCCTTAAAAACTGAACACTCAGTATAGTCTCTTGTTCTGAAAAGACAACACGTATATTAAGAAAAAATGCAAAATATAAGCCCCGCCCACCCACCCTATCTCAATTGTGATGATTTTCTTTATTCGTCATGGGCCAAGAAAACGGAAATTAACTGCAAAATCCTTATTTTTCTACGAGAAATTAAAAGCATATTTTTGAGTACCGTGTCACTCAAAAACTACTATATATATTAATAAAAACTTAAAACCAAATATTAAGCCCCACCCACACCTGTCCTGATCTAAATAGTCATGAAGTTTTCGTTCGTTGCCAGACCTAGGGGCGGAGCCTAATTGAAAAATCCATATTCTTTTACAAAAAGTTACCATTTTAAACGTATTTCAAGTTTCTAAGAATAAAAAAAACCATCATTGAGAAGGGGTGGGTGGGCGGAGTTTATATTTTGTTTTTTTTTCTTAATATACTTAATATTCCTTGAACAACACGACACACAAAAACATGTTTTTAATTTCTTCTAAAAAATAAGCATTTTGCAGTTAAGCTGAGCCCTCTTGGTTCACGGCGAATAAAAAAAATCATTACAATTGAGACAGGGCGGGTGGGCGGGCTTACATTTTGTCCTTTTGTTTTAATATGTCTAAACTTCTTTTCAGAACATGAAATTTAAAACATGTTTAAAATGGAAAATTTGTATAAGGAAATATCGATTTTGCAATTGGGTCCCGCTCCATAAGTGCAAAATTCATATTTCCTTGAAAAAATGTACCATTTTAACCATATTCTAAGTTTTTTCTTGTGAAAAGATGGCTATGTATAGTAAGAAAAGAAAACAAAATATAAGCCCCGCCCACCCACCCTATCTCAATTGTGATGATTTTTTTTGTTCGTCGTGACTCAAGAAGACGGAATTTAACTGCCAAATCCTTATTTCTCTACGAGAAATTAACAACATGTTCTTGAGTATCGTGTTACTCAAAGAATACTATACATATTAAGAAAAAATTGAAATTAAAGATTAAGCCCCACCCATACCTGTCCTGATCTAAATAGTCATGAAGTTTTCGTTCATTGGGAGACCTAGGGGCGGAGCCTAATTGCAAAATCCATATTCTCTTACAAAAATTTACCATTTTAAACATGTTTCAAGTTACTAAGAATAAAAAAATCATCATAATTGAGAAGGGATGGGTGGGCGGGGTTTATATATTATCTTTTTTTCTTAATATACATTGAATTCTTTGAACAACATGATACTCAAAGACATGTTTTTAATTTCTTGTAAAGAAATAAGTATTTTGCAATTATACTCTGCCCTCTTGGTTCACGGCGAATAAAAAAAAATCATCACAATTGAGATAGGGCGGGTGGGCGGGTTTACATTTTTCCGTTTTGTTTGACTATGAGCAGACTTCTTTTTACAACATGAAACTTAAAACATGTTTAAAATAGAAAATTTGTATGAGGAAATATCGATCCATATTTTCTTGGATAAATACTCCATTTTAACCATTTTCCAAGTTTCTTGTTGGGAACAGATGGCTATGCATATTAAGAAAAAAAAGACAAAATATAAGCTTCGCCCACCCACCCTATCTCAATTGTGATGATTTTTTTTTATTAGTCGTGAGCCAAGAAGGCGGAACTTAACTGCAAAATCCTTGTTTTGTACGAGTAAGTATGAAATATTTACATTTTTTACTAGTTTTTCATTAATTATCCAGAACCTAATATTAATAAATTTTGTTCTTATTTATATTTTAATACAACCAATAATATACAAATATCCTCTGTATGAAATCAGTTATACATATAAGCACATACTAAGTAATATTTTTTCTCAAAATTTATTTTAAAGTCTACACGAATTGAAGCAATTAAGTACTGTTAAAGTTTTTACTAAGAAATTTGTTTGCAGGTTGAATCACAAAAGTTATGCGATTTTTTGAGAAGGATACAATAAAATTAAGAATTTTTGAAAATAGAGAGTAATTTGTTTTTGAAACATAGCACTAAATAAAGTTATATAGAACAGCCTATATATTTTTATATATTTTTATTAACCTCTTCCTAGAGTTTACAATCATAGTTTCTTTTTAAAATTCTGATGAGACATTGACAGAAAATATTTTATGGAGATATAAACAGATATCCGCTTATTGTAATAACCATTTAAGTATAATTATATTATACAAAGTGTTTATAAAAAAATAATTCTTATAACTTTCAAATATTCAATTTTCAGTTATTTTCAAATGGAGCACTATTTTATTATAGCATCATACTCTATTTTTTGTTCTCTTTCTTTCGAAATGTCGACGTGTCTCTTAAAAAAGTAAAAAAACCCAATAACTGTAAGTATTTAACAAAAAAGAAAGAAAACAAAAAAAATACGATTCAGTAATAAAATGTAAAGTGTCCTATTTGAAAAATATTGAAAAATCGACATCTGAAAAACCTTAGAAATCGATGTTGAAAAATTGTAATAATTTATTTTTTTATGAACACACTGTATATTAAGACTCAATTTTATTTCTAACAACAAAGTTCATACCTTTATTTAGCTGTCCTTAAAATGTTATAAAACAGACTTTAGAAATAACTCTATTGCGATTTTTTTCTTTGAAAACCCTTCCATTGCTAAAAAATTTCAAAAAATTTGAATATAACGCGACAACGTCGCATCGAAATTTCAAATATAAAGAATGACTATAAAGGCTAAAAAGGAGGTCAAATAGACTGTGTACAAATATGTATGTAGGTGTTCCATTATTCTCATCTACTTTTGCCTATAGTTTTTGTAAAAATTTTGACTCTAGCTTTTCAAC